CATCACAAGATCACATAAAACTCATTCACATCATACCTTCACATATAGCTTCACATAAAACTCATTCACATCATACCTCCTTATATAGCTTCACATAAAACTCATTCACATCATACCTTCACATATAGCTTCACATAAAACTCATTCACATCATACCTTCACATATAGCTTCACATAAAACTCATTCACATCATACCTTCACATATAGCTTCACATAAAACTCATTCACATCATACCTTCACATATAGCTTCACATAAAACTCATTCACATCATACCTTCACATATAGCTTCACATAAAACTCATTCACATCATACCTTCACATATAGCTTCATATAGGACTTTACATATAGCCTCATTCATATATAATAATATAGCAATACAATAACACTCATATAATGCCCTTCATCGCCTCAATCATAATACATTCCATAAGTAGACACCTCCACCATAAGTGGATCACACATCAATCTATCAAAATTCTATATCAATTCTACATTAACAATGAAGTTAGGCCAACTTACCCTTTTCCAAAGCCACAATCACCATTCCTCAACTCTCCAATAATTCACAATAGATAAACATAGATAATAATAGAAATCAACTATTCAACTCAATTTAAGCATAATTCTATCATCATTCAATCATAAACAATAACCCCACTTCATAAGCCAACTTTTGGAAATTTGCAAAGACATGGGTTCATGGAATTTCCTTTCTTAAAACCATCAATAATAACATAAATCATCATTAAAAACATTTAATGCAAGAACCCATGCTAGAATTCAAAATTAGGATTTTGAGTTTTTGAACAACTTTTGAAATCTTTTGGATTGACTCTTTGATTGAAGAAGGAATCAAAGATGAAGAGTCCCCATACCTTAATCTTCAAGAACCAAACGAAATTGGTGAAGAAATCAATAGCCACCATCCACCCTAGCTCCATCTTTCACCTTGAGCTTCCATGGGGTTCTAGTGAGAACCTTTTTTTGAAAGAGGGAGGGTTTCTTTTTTTCTTCCTAATTGGAGTGATTTAAATGGAAGAATTTTGGTCAAAAGGGTTTTATAATTTCTAGGAAATAATATATGTCCTTTGGAAAATTTGGTCCAACACTTAGAAAAAAAATGAGGCGGGTGAACAGTAATTTCGGTCACTGGAAATTTGCATTTTCTGCCGGACAGATTTTACGAAAATGGGCATAACTTCTTCTTCCGAACTTCGAATGAGGTGAAACGAAGTGCGTTAGGTAGCTAACTCAAAGGGCTTTCCATGGATATATTATGGGCCACCCAATTATTTGTGTGCTAGGAGATATGACCCTCCAAAGTAGACCCTCGAAAAAGGCTTCACTTGGAAATTTCGGATTTTGATACGGTTGCTCTAAAATTTGGGTTAGACTCATTTCCCACTCAATTTGACCCCCTAAACAAGAATATGAAGTCGGATTTTTGAAAAACGAAACGGATCTTTTTATATACAGCTAAACAAGTTTCCGGTAACTTCCGAAGCACATTTTAAGAACTTTTTGGGTCAAATTCAATTATAACCATTTCATTAAGTTCTCGACTCCAAACTCACATGTGAGGCTCTAGTTTCACTCTATCATTTTCCGGGTCGTTACAGCAGTTTTGTCCCCAAAAGTAATTTCCTATTGCTAAAAGCCTTTTTGTTCATTGCTTGTTGTCTCCACCAGCAAAACCAGATTTTACTATTTTTTTCAAATCTTCGAAGACGCGGCAAAAAGGGGGGTAGAGGAATCACAACGACCCTTCAAATGCAAATCACACAACACTTAAACAGAATTATAGTCTAAAGTTTGAGGGAAAGAGTAGAGGAGTCAAAATTTTCAAATAAAAAGAGAAGATTTGAATATAAAAGGACAGAGATTCTTCATTGGGCGCCCTATTCGGTGAACTAAAATAACATCGCCGATCAACTTGATGAACCATTGAATGGGCCTCAGTCTGCCGCACTTGATAGAATATACAGTCCTTCAGTAGTCGCAGAGAACTCAATAGGGTTTGCCGATCGAACTCGGTGACTCGCTGAATGGGCAATAAGCTCGGCCAAACTTCCAAAACCTTCATCATTTTTTACCTTCATGAGGCGATGCATTTGGGTAATGATGGAGGAAATTTGGTGACTCATGAGTGTTCTAGCCCCTCGCCCCTTTGCATTTCTTCCAAAATAAGAACTTCAACCTGTGCATCCAACAAAAATTATTCAAATAACTAAAAGTAAAGCTTGGTTTGCCTCCCAAGATGTGTCTTCGTTAACATCGTGGCACGACATGGACATGCACTCAAGCATAATCCAAATATACCATGACAATTTTAGTCACGTTGGGGTATTCTCCAAAATTAAACTTCAACCTTTGGCCATTAACCTTGAACATTACCTCGCCTTCGTTCTCAACTACTATTTCCCCGTTCGCAAACACACGATTTACATCAAATGGACCCGGCCATTTGGACTTGAGTTTTCCCGGAAAGAGTCTCAGATGGGATTTGTAGAGCAACACAAGATTTCCAACTTTACATTGTCGATGAAGGATTTTGGCGTCATGCCATTTCTTGATTTTCTCCTTATTAAGGATTGAACTCTCATAAGCTCGAATCTGAAACTCTTTCAAAGCATGTAGTTGGTCAACTCCATCCATTCGACGCATCCTCCCAATTCAAGTTCATGGCCTTCAAGGACCATAACGCCTTAGCTCAAGTTCAACTGGTAGATGACAAGGTCTACCAAACACCAATTGATACAGGGACATACCAATTAGGGTTTTGAATGTAGTTCTATAAGCCCAAAGAGCATCAGCTAACTTCCGCAACCAATAGGTTTGATTTGCACTAACGGTTTCAGTCAAAATTCCTTTGAATTCTCAGTTTAACACCTCGACTTGACCACTTTTTTGCGGATGATAAGGGGTGGCAACCTTATGCTTGACTTCATACTCACTTAACAACGATGCGAACATTCAATTATAGAAATGAGTGCCCCCATCACTAATGATTGCACGTAGAGTGCTGAATCTTGTGAAAATGTATTGTTTGAGGAATTGAACCATACTGCTCCCTTCATTATTGGGTAAGGCCGCCGCCTCTACCCATTTAGAGACATAAACAACGGCTACCGAGATGTATTTGTTCCCATAGAACTAACAAAGTCCCCATGAAATTGATTCACCATACATCAAACAATTCACCTCTAGAATAGAGGTTAGTGGTAATTCATGCCTTAACGACACATTTTTTAACATTGCACACATTTTTTAACAAGAGAGTTCGCATCTTGATACAATGTTGGCTAATTATAACCAATTTGTAGTACCTTAGCAGTTGTACGCACTCCACTATGGTGCCCACAAAATGGTGACGCATGGCAAGCATCAAGAATAGCATCAACCTTGACTTTCGGGACACATCTTCTAATCATGTGATCCGCACACTCCCGAAATAGGTAAGTCTCATCTCAAAAGTACTTCTTCACATCGAAAAGCAACCTCTTTTGTTGGTAAAATTTTAGCCCATCAGGAAGAATCCCACACACCACATAATTTGCAAAATCAGCATACCATGCAAAGTACCACTCGACACAACCATCACCGACTCATCGGGAAAGCCTTCCTCAATATATTTTTCCCTGGAAACAACCACATTCATTTCAAGCATCAACAAATGGTTTGCCACTTTGTTCTCACACCCTTTTCAATCTTTGACATCAAATTCCAACTCTTGCAATAATAATACCCATCGAATCAACCTTGGCTTTGCATCTTTCTTAACCATCAAGTAACATATGGAAGCATGGTATGTGTGTACCACCACCTAGGTCCCTATAAGATAAGCTCTAAACTTCTCAAAATCATACACCACGGCTAACAAATCTTGCTCAATGACGGTGTAGTTCTTTTGAGCTACATTTAAGGTCTTGCTTGCATAGTAGACCGGGTGAAATAAATTTCCCTTGTGTTGGCCAAGTATAGCCCCTAAAGCTACACCGCTTGCATCACACATTAGCTCAAATGTAATGCTCCGATTAGGAGAAACAATGATAGGGGCCAAAACGAGCTTCTCTTTTAAACAGAAAAATGCTTTGACAGAAGCTTCATCAAACTCGAAGCCACTTTCCTTTTCAAGTAGCTTGCACAGAGGATGAGCCACCTTAGAGAAATTCTTTATGAACCTCCGATAAAAAGCACGCATGACCCAAGAAGCTTCTAACACCCTTAATTGATATAGGAGGAGACAACTTGGTGATAACTTCAACATTAGCTTGATCAACTTGTATACCTTCTCCCAAAATTTTGTACCCCAATACAATACCTTCCTTGACCATGAAATGATTTTTTTTCCCAATTGAGAACAAGGTTTGTTTCGACACATCCTTGCAAGACTCTAAGAAGATTCTCAAGGCACGCTTCAAATGTATCTCCCACAACCAAAAAGTCATCCATGAAAACCTCCATCGAATCCTCTACCATATCAAATAAAACAGAGAGCATACACCTTTGAAATGTCGTCGGTGCATTACACAATCCAAAGGGCATTATTTTAAAAGCAAACGTCCCATAGGGACATGTGAAGGTTGTATTTTCTTGATCTTCAAGTGCAATGGAGATTTGATTATAACCAAAGTAACCATCTAGAAAGCAATACCATCCATGACCCGCAAGTCTATCAAGCATTTGATCCATAAAGGGCATCGAAAAATGGTCCTTCTTGGTCCACGCATTCAACTTATGGTAGTTCATACATACCCGCAAACCAGTAACCGGTCGCATTGGCACAATATCCCGTTTTTCATTAGGGGCCACAGTCATACCTCCTTTCTTTGGAACATATTGGATGGGACTAACCCACTTGATATTTGCAATAGGGTAGACAACTCTCGCATCAAGCCACTTAATAATACCTTTCTTAATGACTTCTTGCATTGGAGGATTCAACATCCTCTGATGTTCAATACTTGGCTTACAATCACTAGCTAATTGAATCTTTTTAGTACAAATACGGGGGAATTCCCACTATGTCGGCAATCGTCCACCCAATAGATTTGATAAAACTCTTCAACACACTAACAAGCGCTTGCGCTTGCCATTCAAGCAAATCCATCACAATAATCACGGGTAAAGTGTTATTGGCTCCCAAGAACAAATAGTGAAGGTGAGGTGGAAGTACCTTCAATTCAGGCTTTGGTGGTTCTACAATAGATGGCTTTGCGGGAAGACTTTCCCTATTCTTAAAATTGATATCAAGTTTCAAAGGGCTCTCAGAATAATAACTTAAACACGATAGAGCGGCCACTACCTCATAATAATCTTGAATTTCCTCCCCGTCATAGTTCAAAAGGATGGCAGCCAAAAATTTACTAATACAAGAATCTTCGCTCATACTAGCAACCCCTTCAGCAATCACGTAAACGACTGATATCACATGGAGTTCACTTGGTTGCTTCATCGATTTGCAAATATTGAATGTAACTTCTACACCATTTACTCGGAATTTCAGTTCACCACTTTCCACATCAACAAGAGCTTTCCCGGTAGCCAAGAATGGCCTACGAAGAATAATAAGGACCTCCGCATGTCACAATCGAGGATCACAAATCAGTCAGAAAGATAAATTTGTCTACCTTCACCAAAATGTCATAAAGGATTTCAATAGGGTGCTTAATAGAGCGGTTGGCAAAAAGAAGACGCATAGTTGTAGGTTTAGGCTCACCTAGCCCATCTTGTTTGAAAATGGCATAGGGCATCAAGTTTATACTCACCTCCAAATCACATGATGAATTAGAAAATTTGAGCATCCCTATAGCGCAAGGGATAGTAAATGCCCCCAGATCATCTTTCTTGACAACCACGTTGCTGGACATAACGACACTACATTTATGGGATACTCCAATCATCTCAAAATCCATACTTCTTTTCTTAGTGACCAACTCTTTTAGAAACTTTGCATAACCCAACATTTCTAAAAATGCCTCCACCAAAGGAATATCAATGTAAAGACTTTTGCAGATGGAAAGAAAATTTTCAAACTTTACGCCTTCATCCCTCTTCTTCAATCTTTGAGGGAATGGTAGAGTAACTTTGGTCAACTGCTTTGTAGGTACCGAGGGAGACACAACCCCCACATTTGAATTCTTAGAATCACCAAGAAAAACATTTTTTAGTGCATCATCAACCTCATTGGAGGCTTCATTGTTCAAGTACATCAATCTCAAAAAAATGGTTTTCCCTTTGCTTGAACTTGCATTTTTATCATTTGGCACATCACTCTCCACAACTTTACCACTTTGGGTCACGATGGTCATGCATTGTGCATTATCATTCTTTGGATTGGCCATGGTATCACTAGGAAGACCTCTTTTTGACCTCGAATTCAAGTGAGCAGAAATTTGAACCATTTGGGTCTCAAGTTGTTTTATAGAAATCGAATGAGAGGTCTCTGTTTGATTCAATGAGGAAATATCAACCTCCATCTCCTTGAGCACTAATGAGTCTAGGATTTTGGCTCATTTAGGTCTTGTTATTCATAGTATTAGTGTCATCGATGACTATTTTGTACTCTAAATTGATGTTTAAATGCTAATTTACAGATATAAAGGCAAAAGAGCAAGGTAAGGACATTACAGGACAAAAAAGGAGTGAAAAAGATAAAGGGCTGAAGATGGTAAAGTTGAGAATCCCCAAATCCACTCAGTGAGTCGTCGAGTGGCACTTTAGCTCGCCTAATGTTCTAGATTGCCAGCACAGGGGAGAATCCAACTTGGCGATAGAATAGGACTTTCGGCGAACCACCGAATGGATCATCAATAATGAATTTGATCACCTAAATTTACAGGGTATGAAGAATGAATAGTCAAGGTAAACGGCAATGGAGAGGAGCGATTGGCACATCACCGGCTTGGTTGAAGATGCACGACTAACTCCGCTAAGTGACCCCGAAGGCCAAAATCAATGAATGTATAAATTGAATTTCAAAAAGAGAAAAGAGTATATTGTCATTGTAAGACTCTGAGCTTTCGATTGAATTATTTCTTTTCTTAGATGGTATTAATTTCTTACTTTTTATGATGTGTGGCTAAAACCCCCATTCTTGGGGGTGTGATTATATGATTAATTGTCTTAATTAGCTTATGGGCATTAGTAATTAGTGATTTAATTGTTGTTTTGAAGTGGGTTTGATTGGTAATTGAGTTTTATCTTATGAATAGTAGTTGCAAATTCAGTTCTAGTCTAGTATTTTATGCTTTCTTGAGAAAGAGTTTTTAGAATTAAGATTACTAATTGATGATTGGGTTGTTATGGGTTTAGCTCGAGAGAGTAAATTTTAATTCGATGCTATCTAGCTAGCTCGAGAGAATAGATAAATTGAGGTTTTGGGTTGTTCATATTATGATGCTTGTTGAGGTTCTAGAGAACGCACTTGATTTGTGATAGTTGATCGAGAGATGGATATTACATCTAACGTCTAGCCTACCCAGTAAGATTCAATGACTTTTGGTAATTAATAATCACCCGTATAGCGAAATTGGCAATTAATCGATCACATCCCCAAGTATCCCTTTCTACTTGATTACTACCCTATTTTTCGTAGTTGTTAATCTACAAACCTTATCCCCTCATTTGACACTTGTTGTCAACCCCTTTGATTTACTTCAATGGTTTCGATAATTTCTATTCCTACAATCGAATTGAACTCTATTCGATAATTTCTTTCACTTCATAATTAAATTCTCTACCGTATCATTCCTTGTGTGATCGACCCCAACTCTTTGTTGGGTTTATACTATATTGTAATCGCTTACACTTAGTTTTGGATGAAGTTTAATTGAGCTTTATCAAAAATGGTGTCGTTGCCGGGGAGTGGTGTTTGGAATTATCTTAGTGAAGTAGAGTTGTAATCTGATCTTGTTTGTAGTTGAATCGACTTACGTTGTTTTATGTTTGTTGTTGGTTGTTTGTTAACAAGTGACGAAATGAGTGTGAACGGAAGTAACGGTAGCCACCTTGGACACCAAGATGACATTGGCAATCTGAATGATGTCAATGAAGCAGTTCAATTGGGTGGTGTAGGTGCTATTCGTTTACCTCAGGTCGGGGGGAATGTTGTCTTCCACGTAACTAGCACGATGTTGCAACTCTTGCAAATTAAAGGACTATTTGGAGGTCTAGCTCATGAGGATCCTCATGATCATATCCAAAATTTTGTGGACGTATGTGGTCCATTCTTTTTCAAAAACATCTCACAAGATTCAGTTTAGCTCCAGTTATTTCCTTTCTCTTTGATGGGGAAAGCGACCAAATGGTTAGCTTATCTACCGAGGGATTCGATCACATCTTGGGAAGAACTTACAAAGGCATTCTACATAAGATTTTTCCCTTATTCAAGGATGATGGCATTGAGAGACAATATTTAGGGCTTTACATATTTAGATTGTGAGCCAATCCACGAAACGTGGCAAAGATTTCAGAAATTGTTACTTCAATATCCGACTCACGGACATCCAAGCAACTTGTTGTTACAACACTTCTACCGAAGTCTAGATTCGGTGAAAAAAGGTGTGGCTGATGAACTTTTTTGAGGAGGTATTATGAGCGCCCAAATGGATGTTTTGTCTAAACATGTAATGGGTAGTGGTTCTAAAGTTGTGAATGATGTTGGAGTTAGCGGAGTGAATCCCGATGATGCAAATTTGAAGCGTTGTTCAATGAAGAAGTACACTTTCTAGCAAATCAGGGAGGAGGATTTCACCAAACTTATCTAAGGTCGGGTGGAAACCAAGGTTTGAATAGAGAGCGTGATGAAGGATGGAAGGATCGTGATAAGGAGTGGTGTGATCGTGGCACAAACTAGAGGGAGTGTGATGGTGACAATGAAAGATATGTTCCTCCCCATGAGCGTCAAAACCCAAAAGAGCAAAGGGTTGACCCGGAAAACTTTCACACTGAATATATGCTTACACGCATTCTCAATAAAGTGGAAGGGTCAGACAAGGTGCTTAAATAAATGAAAGAGGATGTCTCCATACTAAACCATATGGTTAACTCTCACTCGGTGTCCATTAAGCAATTGGAAACGCGAATGCGTCAAATATCATCTAATTTGAACTCAAGGCCAAAAGGGGGTCTACCAAGTGATACCTTGGCTAACCCGAAGAATGAACCTTGAAAGTGTATCCACGTCGTGCCATGACGTTAAATAAGGTGCTTCTTAGGAGGCAACTCAAGGGTTTAAGCTTTTCTTATTGTTGTTCTAATGACGGGTGTTGAATGTGCAAGTTGAAAAGTTAAAATTTTGGGCCAAGGAGCAGTTAGGCGATCCCAGTGACCAATCAGCGACTCGTCCAATAGTTCGGCGAGCCCAACTTGGCTGTCGTTTGAACCACCTAGTTAGCTAGAGCTTTTGTAAAACTCAGCGGGCTAAAGAGCCATTTGGCGCATCACGAGTAGGTTGGCGACATAAGTGGTTATCGTTGATCAGCGCGCGAACTGAAGAGTCATGAAGGGATGAACCGTTTTTAAATTCAAAACTCTCCCTCATTTCATAGTTTTTATCTTCTACACTTTCAAACCGCCCTTTAGATTATATTTTTTTGTTTTTTTTTTTTGCTTTGTGTGTTGGATCAATTGCTCGGGGGGGAACTTTGGCTTTGCTAGCCTAGTATTTCAAACATCTGCTTTTGAGGTTGGTTATCTGAACCCTGCACTTTAATTTTGGTAATTGCAAATACATGATCGTTACCTTGTTGATTTATGTGTGTACTAGTAATTGTTTGAATGATGGTTGTTAATATGTGCCTTTAAGATCCTGAATTGCCTATGTTTGCATTTATTTGTGAAATTTCGTGTGTTGAATGATCAAAATGATGGGTTGTGTTGATGGGTCTAATGTTGGTGAAGTTTGAGTAACCCCAAATTATGTCGATTGTCTAATTCTTCCCAATGATAGAGAGGTTGACGTCATTCTTAAGGGCAAAAGATGTCAATTGGCCAATTTTTGCCAAATTGGGGAAAGTCTGAGTACTCCGAGGTCATGGGTAGTATGGGTCTGGGCTCTATTGCATAGAATAATGGTTTAACTTTGTTTTCATGGGCTGCGGGTGAGAAATTGAAGGTCACGATAAAAATCTAGCAGGTTGGACTGTTTGGTGAGTTGGGTCGAGCTCGCTGAGTGGTTCGGCATTTGCCTAAAGACCCCTTGATTGCATTTTTATCCTTCATTTTTGTGATTTGTTTTCTGTAACATTCGGCGATACACCTAAGCTCACTGAGCTCACTCGGCAACTCACCGAATGCCTTTCTGATAGCCCTTCTGTGCCCTGGTATTTTCTGAAACTATTCTGTAACATTCGGCGAGCTACTTCTTATTCGTCGATTGGTGTCAGCGATTCGCCAAAAGGCCCTAGACATCGCCGACATGTGCTGATTTTTGGCATATTTTATTCTGCAACATTTAGTGAGCTCGACTTAGCTCGCCGAATGGGTTTGGCAACTCACCAAATGGTTCGGTGAGCTTTCCTGTAGAGTTTAATACATTTGAATTTTTTTTATTATATCTAATGTATGTGGCTTTGTTTTGCCGAAATAGCTAGACCAAAAGTTGTGGAAAGAAATCAACCACCACAAAAGCGGGCAAAAGGCATAGTAATCAAGGAGAGGGTTGCTCCCTCCCGGAACGTACCAGCTAAACTTCCCCCAACCGGGGGAATAGGAAAAGGAATAGGGACGGTAATGCCAAGACCGGCAGTTGAGAGCTCAGACAGCGACGGCATCTATGGCACTCACCTCACGATGCCTGAAAGTGAGGGTAATTGAGCTGAGAGTTCTCCGGCCTCCACTTCTGATCCGAAAGATGACCAACTTCTCCAAGCTAGGAGAGAGGAGCTACGCTCCAAGGCAATACATGATCTATATCGGATCCCGATACCTCCCACTCCTCCTCCACCTCGGTCACTTAAAAGATTAAAGACCAAGTATTTGAGAACCATTCTTGAGGAAAAGCATTTTTCTACTGATGGCGTGGTAGACCGGTACCAAGAGGTGTGGAACACCATAAGGTTCTACAAGTTTGAGCTCTATAGGAAGCCTAGAGGCCTCTATATTCCTACTTGGGTTCGGGAGTTCTACTCAGCATACGGGGAGTTGGTGCCAAAGGGAAAGAAAAGGGTAAGCGCTTATAAGACAGTTGACTATGTGGTAGTGCGGGGCAAGAAAGTCAAATATAGTAGCACCGATATCAATAAGGTGTTGGGATGTACAATGAACGAAAAATGCTACTACATAGATAAAATAAAAAAGAAGACCCTAAATGATTTAAAGAGTTGGTTAGAACCCATGATTT